ACACACACACACACACACACACACACACACACACACACACACACACACACACACACTTCTAACCTTCATTGGAGGGCTGTTGCTGAACCTGATTATGCAGCAGTGACACAAGTGTGGGTTCTAGACTGTGTGTGTGTGTGTGTGTGTGTGTGTGTGTGTGTGTGTGTGTGTGTGGCAGGGGGTGTTCAGTCCCACGGTTCACGTGCAACAGCTGGACATCATGACCTGTGACCCCTGAGGAAGCTTGCAAGGGATCCTATAGTCAGAAAAGGTCAAATGTGTGTCTGGTTTCTACAGGCTACACACACACACACACACACACACACACACACACACACACACACACTTCAAGCAACGATGAACTCGTTTATGAGTCAAGTTGAAAAAGATCGATGCAAGGGAGTGAAGAGGAAGTGGTGTACACACACACACACACACACCCGTGTGTGTCCTTATAAGGCAGAGAGAAGCGTGACTGCTGCAGGGAGAAAACACCGTTATGATTTAACTACATGAAGGTCTAAAAGAGTTTCTCCAGATTGATGCTCAGTGTTCACAGGCCACGCCCACTTCCTGCTACTTCCTCCAGCTGTAACACACGCCTTTGTGCCACAGAGCCACAATCCACTTGGACTGCAGGTACCAGCTGCCTCTGGAGCCCCACAGGCCAAAGACAGGCACCGACCTGCAGCCACAACTCCGGTCAGCCGCCTCGACAAACGAGTCACGGATCATGGACCACTCAATGTTGTGGTGTTGGAAGTTCTGTTGGGGGTGGGACTCGAAGCTTCTTCTGACAGGAGACTGCCAGACGTTCCCAGCAGACCCTCACAATATGTTTGGGTCTGCTGGGTCTGACCAGCTCCGCCCTGCTCTTCACCCGAGTGTCCCAGACATGCAGCCGCAGGTCGGATAAAACAACAAAGTCGATCATCGAGCTGCGGCCTAAGGTATCCTGGTGCCAAGAGCACATATGGAACACTTTATGTCTGAACATGGTGTTCATTATGGACAATCCATGACTGGCACAGAAGTCCAATAACAAAATAGAATATTCACTATCAGGGGTCGTTCCTCCCAACCACACCTCTCCAGGTCCCACGCGAGCGTTAAAGTCCCCCAGCAGAACGAGGGAGTCACCAGAAGAAGCGCTCTCCAGCACCTCCTCCAAGGTCTCCAAAGGGGTGGGCAGTCTGATCTGTAGTTTGGTGCATAAGCACAGACCACAGTCAGGACACCCCCCACCCCACCCCACACACACGTAGGTGAAGAGAAGCTACTCTGTTACTGAGGTAAACCCTATCGTAAAGGTACCAAGATGGGGGCAACTAGTATGCCCACCCCACACACCTGGTGGTAGTTTCACTTGGAGGGGAGGATGCCAGTCAGACCTGGCAGACACTAGCATAATGTGAAGGTGTTCACATTGAACTGTTTATGTGTGCAACGTTCTAAATCAAAGCACCTGACACAGTCTCTAGTCAGGAGACTTACACTTCTGGGACCTTGAGGGTTGTTGTTCTGCTGGAGACTCGAGGACCTAAAGGACTGGACCTGTCTGTTGGAGACTGGAGGACCTAAAGGACTGGACCTGTCTGCTGGAGACTCGAGGACCTAAAGGCCTGGACCTGTCTGCTGGAGACTGGAGGACCTAAAGGACTGGACCTGTCTGTTGGAGACTGGAGGACCTAAAGGACTGGACCTGTCTGCTGGAGACTCAAGGACTTGAAGGACTGGACCTGTCTGCTGGAGACTCGAGGACCTAAAGGCCTGGACCTGTCTGCTGGAGACTCAAGGACTTGAAGGACTGGACCTGTCTGCTAGCGACTCGAGGACCTAAAGGACTGGACCTGTCTGCTGGAGACTGGAGGACCTAAAGGACTGGACCTGTCTGTTGGAGACTGGAGGACCTAAAGGACTGGACCTGTCTGTTGGAGACTCGAGGACCTAAAGGACTGGACCTGTCTGTTGGAGACTGGAGGACCTAAAGGCCTGGACCTGTCTGTTGGAGACTCGAGGACCTAAAGGACTGGACCTGTCTGCTGGAGACTGGAGGACCTGAAGGACTGGACCTGTCTGCTGGAGGACCTGAAGGCCTGGACCTGTCTGCTGGAGACTGGAGGACCTAAAGGACTGGACCTGTCTGCTGGAGACTCGAGGACCTAAAGGCCTGGACCTGTCTGTTGGAGACTCGAGGACCTAAAGGACTGGACCTGTCTGCTGGAGACTGGAGGACCTGAAGGACTGGACCTGTCTGCTGGAGGACCTGAAGGCCTGGACCTGTCTGCTGGAGACTGGAGGACCTAAAGGACTGGACCTGTCTGCTGGAGACTCGAGGACCTGAAGGCCTGGACCTGTCTGCTGGAGACTGGAGGACCTAAAGGACTGGACCTGTCTGCTGGAGACTCGAGGACCTAAAGGCCTGGACCTGTCTGCTGGAGACTCGAGGACCTAAAGGACTGGACCTGTCTGCTGGAGACTGGAGGACCTGAAGGACTGGACCTGTCTGCTGGAGGACCTGAAGGCCTGGACCTGTCTGCTGGAGACTGGAGGACCTAAAGGACTGGACCTGTCTGCTGGAGACTCGAGGACCTAAAGGCCTGGACCTGTCTGCTGGAGACTCAAGGACTTGAAGGACTGGACCTGTCTGCTGGAGACTCAAGGACCTGAAGGCCTGGACCTGTCTGCTGGAGACTGGAGGACCTAAAGGACTGGACCTGTCTGCTGGAGACTCGAGGACCTAAAGGCCTGGACCTGTCTGCTGGAGACTCAAGGACTTGAAGGACTGGACCTGTCTGCTGGAGACTCAAGGACTTGAAGGACTGGACCTGTCTGCTGGAGACTCAAGGACTTGAAGGACTGGACCTGTCTGCTGGAGACTCAAGGACTTGAAGGACTGGACCTGTCTGCTAGCGACTCGAGGACCTAAAGGACTGGACCTGTCTGCTGGAGGACCTGAAGGGCTGGACCTGTCTGCTGGTGACTGGAGGACCTAAACGCCTGGACCTGTCTGCTGGAGACTGGAGGACCTAAAGGCCTGGACCTGTCTGCTGGAGGACCTGAAGGGCTGGACCTGTCTGCTGGAGACTGGAGGACCTAAAGGCCTGGACCTGTCTGCTGGAGGACCTGAAGGGCTGGACCTGTCTGCTGGAGACTGGAGGACCTAAAGGCCTGGACCTGTCTGCTGGAGGACCTGAAGGGCTGGACCTGTCTGCTGGAGACTCAAGGACTTGAAGGACTGGACCTGTCTGCTGGAGACTCAAGGACTTGAAGGACTGGACCTGTCTGCTGGAGACTCGAGGACCTAAAGGCCTGGACCTGTCTGCTGGAGACTCAAGGACTTGAAGGACTGGACCTGTCTGCTGGAGACTCAAGGACTTGAAGGACTGGACCTGTCTGCTGGAGAATCGAGGACCTAAAGGCCTGGACCTGTCTGCTAGCGACTCGAGGACCTAAAGGACTGGACCTGTCTGCTGGAGGACCTGAAGGCCTGGACCTGTCTGCTGGAGACTGGAGGACCTAAAGGACTGGACCTGTCTGCTGGAGACTCGAGGACCTAAAGGCCTGGACCTGTCTGCTGGAGACTCAAGGACTTGAAGGACTGGACCTGTCTGCTGGAGACTCAAGGACTTGAAGGACTGGACCTGTCTGCTGGAGAATCGAGGACCTAAAGGCCTGGACCTGTCTGTTGGAGACTCAAGGACTTGAAGGACTGGACCTGTCTGCTGGAGACTCGAGGACCTAAAGGCCTGGACCTGTCTGCTGGAGACTCAAGGACTTGAAGGACTGGACCTGTCTGCTGGAGAATCGAGGACCTAAAGGCCTGGACCTGTCTGCTGGAGACTCAAGGACTTGAAGGACTGGACCTGTCTGTTGGAGACTCAAGGACTTGAAGGACTGGACCTGTCTGCTGGAGACTCGAGGACCTAAAGGCCTGGACCTGTCTGCTGGAGACTCGAGGACCTAAAGGCCTGGACCTGTCTGTTGGAGACTCAAGGACTTGAAGGACTGGACCTGTCTGCTGGAGACTCAAGGACTTGAAGGACTGGACCTGTCTGTTGGAGAATCGAGGACCTAAAGGACTGGACCTGTCTGTTGGAGAATCGAGGACCTAAAGGCCTGGACCTGTCTGTTGGAGACTCGAGGACCTAAAGGACTGGACCTGTCTGCTGGAGACTCAAGGACCTAAAGGACTGGACCTGTCTGCTGGAGGACCTGAAGGCCTGGACCTGTCTGCTGGAGACTGGAGGACCTAAAGGCCTGGACCTGTCTGCTGGAGGACCTGAAGGGCTGGACCTGTCTGCTGGAGACTCGAGGACCTGGTGAGGTCCTGTAGCGGCCCTCCTGTGGGTTCTGTCCCTCAGCTGCTTCAAGGCTGACACGAAGCATGTGATGTCATGAAGGTAAAGTCACATGGTCTAACGCACGATGAAGCGAGGGATGGACAAGATGGATACAGGAGTGGAGCCGCCCGCCTGTCACCAACGCCAGCCCGTTAGTGCTGGTGCAGTAACCGGATCTGTGTCCAGGCATCCAGGGGAGCTGGACTTGGAACCGTGACTTGCACCTCTGTCGAGTTTAGCTGGTTCTCTTGCGTTCTGCCCAACCTTCAGTGGGCCCTTCAGTAAGCTGAACATGGCTGAGTTACGTTCATGGAGCCCAGGGTGGTTAGGGTTCACCTCCGAGGCTGTGTCACATTTTATTCCACTGTTCTGGAGAAAATGATCATTCCAACACCCTCCACTGGGCTTACCAGCTTCCACTCTACACTGTTACCATGGTAACTAATCAGGACAAACACAGTTCTACAATGAGACTTTTTATTCATGGCAGACCTCATCAGGTCTGAATCAGTTTTTCTTACATCCTTTATAAAAGGGTAGTGATGTGTGTGTGTGTGTGTGTGTGTGTGTGTGTGTGTGTGTGTGTGTGTGTGTGTGTGTGTGTGTGTGTGTGTGTGTGTGTGTGTGTGGGTGTGTCAGCGGTCCAGGATGTAGGTCTTGTAGAGGCGGTTCATCTGCTCCAGGAAGATGAAGGTGAGGACGGTGTGAGGTCCGAGGCGAGCGTAGTACGGTGTGAAGCCCTTCCACAGAGAGAAGAAGCCCTCTTTACCCACGACTCTCATCAACACGTCCTGGTGGACACACACACACACACACACGCACACGCACACGCACACACACACACACACAGAATAAGTCTGAGACAACTACAGGATCTTCCTGATGAGTGAAATACGGATAAAAACTCAGCACAGATGATTTAAAAGATAAAGCCGCGTCTAAAATAAATAAACAAATCAGCTGTGATGACACCTCCCCACAGAAAATACAAACATTAAATCAAACCAGCTAGTTTATAGAGAATAAACCCACAATGTTATTTACTGAAGCAGCCATGCATTTCTTTTTAACTAATACATATTATAATTGAGATATTATTTATAAAGGTGCATAAATAAAGTTTATAAAGGTGCGTAAATAAAGTTTATAAAGGTGCGTAAATAAAGTTTATAAAGGTGTGTAAATAAAGTTTATAAATGTGCGTAAATAAAGTTTATAAAGGTGTGTAAATAAAGTTCATAAAGGTGCGTAAATAAAGTTTATAAAGGTGTGTAAATAAAGTTTATAAAGGTGGGTAAATAAAGTTTATAAAGGTGCGTAAATAAAGTTTATAAAGGTGTGTAAATAAAGTTTATAAAGGTGCAAAAATAAAGTTTATGAAGGTGCGTAAATAAAGTTTATAAAGGTGTGTAAATAAAGTTCATAAAGGTGCGTAAATAAAGTTTATAAAGGTGTGTAAATAAAGTTTATAAAGGTGGGTAAATAAAGTTTATAAAGGTGCGTAAATAAAGTTTATAAAGGTGTGTAAATAAAGTTTATAAAGGTGCAAAAATAAAGTTTATGAAGGTGCGTAAATAAAGTTTATAAAGGTGCATAAATAAAGTTTATAAAGGTGCATAAATAAAGTTTATAAAGGTGCGTAAATAAAGTTTATAAAGGTGCGTAAATAAAGTTTATAAAGGTGTGTAAATAAAGTTTATAAAGGTGTGTCATTAAAGTTCATAAAGGTGCGTAAATAAAGTTTATAAAGGTGTGTAAATAAAGTTTATAAAGGTGCGTAAATAAAGTTTATAAAGGTGCGTAAATAAAGTTTATAAAGGTACGTAAATATATTTTATAAAGGTGCGTAAATAAAGTTTATAAAGGTGCGTAAATATATCTTATAAAGGTGCGCAAATATAGTTTATAAAGGTGCATAAATAAAGTTTATAAAGGTGTGTAAATAAAGTTTATAAAGGTGTGTAAATAAAGTTTATAAAGGTGTGTAAATAAAGTTTATAAAGGTGCGTAAATAAAGTTTATAAAGGTGCGTAAATAAAGTTTATAAAGGTGCGTAAATATAGTTTATAAAGGTGAGTAAATATAGTTTATAAAGGTGTGTAAATAAATTTTATAAAGGTGCGTAAATAAAGTTTATAAAGGTGTGTAAATAAAGTTTATAAAGGTGCATAAATAAAGTTTATAAAGGTGTGTAAATAAAGTTTATAAAGGTGCGTAAAATTTATAAAGGTGCGTACATATAGTTTATAAAGGTGCGTAAAAATAGTTTATAAAGGTGTGTAAATAAAGTTTATAAAGGTGTGTAAATAAAGTGTATAAAGGTGTGTAAATAAAGTTTATAAAGGTGTGTAAATAACGTTTATAAAGGTGTGTAAATATAGTTTAAAAAGGTGTGTAAATAAAGTTTTTAAAGGTGTGTAAATATAGTTTATAAAGGTGTGTAAATAAAGTTTATAAAGGTGTGTAAATATAGTTTATAAAGGTGTGTAAATATAGTTTATAAAGGTGAGTAAATAAAGTTTATAAAGGTGTGTAAATAAAGTTTATAAAGGTGTGTAAATATCATTTATAAAGGTGTGTAAATATCGTTTATAAAGGTGTGTAAATATAGTTTATAAGGGTGCGTAAATTAAGTTTATAAAGGTGTGTAAATAAAGTTTATAAAGGTGTGTAAATAAAGTTTGTAAAAGGTGAGTAAATAAAGTTAATAAAGGTGTGTAAATAAAGTTTATAAATGTGCGTAAATAGTTTATAAAGGTGCGTAAATATAGTTTATAAAGGTGCGTAAATATAGTTTATAAAGGTGTGTAAATAAAGTTTATAAAGGTGTGTAAATAAAGTTTATAAAAGGTGTGTAAATAAAGTTTATAAAAGGTGCGTAAATAAAGTTCATAAAGGTGCGTAAATAAAGTTCATAAAGGTGTGTAAATTAAGTTTATAAAGGTGCGTAAATATGTTTATAAAGTTGCGTAAATATAGTTTATAAAGGTGTGTAAATATAGTTTATAAAGGTGCGTAAATAAAGTTTATAAAGGTGAGTAAATAAAGTTTATAAAGGTGTGTAAATAAAGTTCATAAAAGGTGCGTAGATAAAGTTTATAAAGGTGCGTAAATAAAGTTTATAAAGGTGCGTAAATAAAGTTTATAAAGGTGCGTAAATAAAGTTTATAAAGGTGTGTAAATAAAGTTTATAAAAGGTGCGTAGATAAAGTTTATAAAGGTGCGTAAATAAAGTTTATAAAGGTGCGTAAATAAAGTTTATAAAAGGTGCGTAAATAAAGTTTATAAAGGTGCGTAAATAAAGTTTATAAAGGTGCGTAAATAAAGTTCATAAAGGTGCGTAAATAAAGTTCATAAAGGTGCGTAAATAAAGTTCATAAAGGTGCGTAAATAAAGTTCATAAAGGTGTGTAAATTAAGTTTATAAAGGTGCGTAAATATGTTTATAAAGTTGCGTAAATATAGTTTATAAAGGTGTGTAAATATAGTTTATAAAGGTGCGTAAATAAAGTTTATAAAGGTGAGTAAATAAAGTTTATAAAGGTGAGTAAATAAAGTTTATAAAAGGTGCATAGATAAAGTTTATAAAGGTGCGTAAATAAAGTTTATAAAGGTGCGTAAATAAAGTTTATAAAGGTGCGTAAATAAAGTTTATAAAGGTGTGTAAATAAAGTTTATAAAAGGTGCGTAGATAAAGTTTATAAAGGTGCGTAAATAAAGTTTATAAAGGTGCGTAAATAAAGTTTATAAAGGTGCGTAAATAAAGTTTATAAAGGTGCGTAAATAAAGTTTATAAAAGTGCGTAAATAAAGTTTATAAAGGTGCGTAAATAAAGTTTATAAAGGTGTGTAAATAAAGTTTATAAAGGTGCGTAAATAAAGTTTATGAAGGTCTGTAAATAAAGATCAGTCCTAAAAGCAGATTCCAGCTGAGGGCTGCTGCCCCCTGCTGGATTAAAACCCACCTACAGCTGGAGGACAGCAGCAGTAGCTATCATCATAAGTAACAGGGCTCAGCATGAATGTTTGATCTGATGAACTTTAACCTCTCAGCCGCTGCAACACATGGAGGCTACAGTAGTCATACTCGCTGTGAGCGCCTTGTTCCCACAGAGTCTAATCATTTCTGACATGTTGGTCACACATCATCATGTGACAGTCACATGATGATGTGTGACCAACATGCTACAACTGAGTTAGCTTGTGAACAAGAAGAATCCCCCTCCTTTCTCTGACTGACTCTCATAAAGATGGACTGGTACCCGACCAAAGACCCCCTCCTCAGACTCGTTCAGCATCAGTGACATCATCCCTGCTCCCTGATTGGCTAGTTCTGTACAGGAACTCACCAAGCCGTTCTTATATTCTGGTTTCCCGTCAATCATCCTCATGTTCTGGATCCTGCAACAGAAGAAGAGATTAATCTCTGGTTCTGTCCTGAATTGATCTAGAGCAAGTTCTGCTAAGGGTTGGCTTCTGTCGGCGGTTCACCTCGTCTTCACGATGTCCACGGGCATGGACGCTGCCGTGGTGACCAGCCCGCTGATCATACTGGCACAGAAGTGACAGAGAATGTCGTCACCAAAGTATCCTGGACACACAGACGAGGGTTTATATGTATTTATAGTTTTGGTTCCAGCTAGTCAGTCACAACCAAATCAAGACTATCTGCAGCCAAAGGTGAGTGTGCTCAGCAGCAGGTGAGGTGTAAACATGAAACATTCAAAAAGAGAAAGAATTAAGAGGGTCCTGGAAAACCACTGTCCTTAGAGAGTTTGGTTCTCCAGTATTGAATCAGAATAGGGAGCCTAAGCCACGCCCACCTACTTCTGGACCACAGGTCCCTGGAAGAACGAAAACATGAATGCAAGTCAACGAGGCTAAAGCACATTTTCTAACCCGCTTGTTATGTACCATGGATTTCACATATGATGTCCGTGAATCTTAAAGACATATTTTTATACCAAGAACTTATTTTCAAACAGGGGGAACGCTATTTTAGGTTTAGTGTGAAAATAAGTCCAGGACTACAAATGCGCTTCACCACAGTGATGTCATCGAACCAGACACGGAGGAAACTGAGGGAAAAGGCTGTAAGGTCAGCTAACTTCCCACGGGAGGGAAGAACCACCATAAATCTGGTCATGTGGTGAGTAGCAGCTACGCTAGGGGGAAGAGCTTATGTGGTGATGTCATCGAACCAGACACGGAGGAAACTGAGGGAAAAGGCTGTAAGGTCAGCTAACTTCCCACGGGAGGGAAGAACCACCATAAATCTGGTCATGTGGTGAGTAGCAGCTACGCTAGGGGGAGGAGCTTATGTGGTGACGTCACATATGCGACGTGTCGACGTCATTATGAACTTTTACCAACAGATAAACCACAAAGTATGTGACTGGCGTGGTCGAAACACCCATCTTTACTTGTCATTTAAATAGCAGTACAGCATGTGTGTGATCCAGGGCGTAGCCCTGTTCAGGGACCCATGAGCAGACCGGAGAGGGCGGAGCCTTAGACTCCCTATCTGCATCCAGATGGGAGGAGCTAGGACTAATAAAGAATGGTGTGCCAGGGCTCAGCTAAGCTGTAGATGTCATCAGGTCCTGGAGTTGGGTCGTTGATGCAAAAGGCTTTACGATGCGTGATGTTATTGTGGTGGGTGTGACTCACTTCCTGTCTCCCCTTGCTAAAACCAAAAACGTCGCAACAGGAAGCATTAGCTGAGACACCCTCTGCCATGCCTTCCATCCATGATGATAAATAACCACACGTATACAGCGGACTCCAAAGCGCTTTGCACTCCAGCGAATCATTCATCCATCCACACACACATTCACACACTAGTGGTGGTGAGCTACACCGTGGCCACAGCTGCCCTGAGGAACACTGATGGAGGTGTGGCTGCTGAGCACAGGCACCACCGGTCCCTCCGACATGAGCAGAGCCAAGATTACTTACCACCATTTTGTTGTCCAGTCTACTTTTATGGCCCCTAATTTCATGATGTAATTACATCCCATACACACCTGGGTCATGCAGCGTAGGTATTAAAGGTATGAAGTCAAACATCAGTGGTGGCTGGAGACAGACATCTTGGTGGGGCTGTGTGTGAAACTCCCTTCTTAGTCCATTAGGAGAACTCTATGACCTAAACCTTCGGGGGACCACGGATCCAGGCTTTGGTTTCATTTCTCCTAAATCTGTTACAGATAATTAACTCCTAAGCCACCGTGTGAGTGCTTAGGAGCACCTACAGTCCATAATGTTCATTTTAGTCTTTCCCACATTTTACTTTGACCATACCGTGGTGGAGGGGTTCGAGTGTCCCAATGATCCCAAGTTGTCTGAGGCTTTATGCCTCTGGTAGGGTCACCCATGGCAAACAGGTCCTAGGTGAGGGATCAGACAAAGAGCAGCCCACACACCCCTTATGAAGAAAAACATACACAGTAGCAGTGTTCCCTCGCCTGGACACGGGTCACCGGGGCCTGAAGGTGGGGTGCGTTGGCTAGCACCTGGTGGCCGGGCTTTCACCCAGGGAGTTCGGTCGGGAACAACCCAAAGAGGAAACATGTGTCCCCTTCCCATGGGCTCACCACTCGGGACACAAGTGGCCAAAGGGGTCGGGGGAAGTGTGCGACGGGTTTTAGCTGAAGGCAGGGAGCCTGGCGGTCTGATCCTCAGCTATAAAAGCTCCTTTCACTTATATTGTTTTATGCTAAGCTAAAGCAAAACGTACTGCTTCCAGATCAGGAGAATGACTGAGCTTGTTGGCTACAAAGTCCATTTTCTCACTTATCTAACTCTGGGAAATTTAACAGACAACGTTTTCCTAAGGGGTGGAATATTGCCTCAGGTGTCAACAATGACAAAAGGCCTGATTCTTTTATCAGCTTAAAAAAATATTTCAGTCGATGGCCGATGTAGAAAAAATTGAATAGATATATCGGCTGGCCTCTATTGTGGACAATTTGGTTGCGTTCGGGTGTGCGTGAGACAGTGAGTCCGAGTGGGCCAGGCCCCGTGCCTCTATTGCTGAGGCTGCCGATCATAGCTGTGGCCACGGGGTCATCAGTCTCAGTCGTGGCAGCAATCCCCGAACCCGCTGGTGGACACAGATGGTTAGGGAGGCTGTCCAGCCGAAGAAAGAGTCTTATCAGGTCTCTCTGGCCTGTGGGACTTCAGAGGCAGCTGATGGGTACCAGCACGCCAAGCGGAATGTGGCCCCGGTGGTCACAGAGGCAAAAACCTGGGCGTGAGAGGAGTTTGGTGAGATGAAATCCTCCCAGAGTTTCTTAAGGCTCTGGATGCCGTAGGGCTGGGTTGGCTAAAGTGGCTCTGGAATATTGCGTGAACATCAAGGGCAGTTTCACTGGATTAGAGGACCGGGGTGGTGGTCTCCCTATTTAAAAAGGGGGACCGCAGGATGCATTGTAACTGCATGGGAAACACACTGCTGAGCCTGCCTGGTAAGGTCTATTAAGGGGTTCTGGAGAGGAGGGTCCGGCGGAATGTGAAACTTTGGATTCAGGAGGAGCAATGTGTTTTTCATCCTCGCTGTGGAACACTGGACCATCTCTATACCCTTAGGGTGGTCCTGAAGGGTGCGTGGGAGTTTGCCCAACCAATCAGTGATCTGATTGTTCCATACGTTCCTAACCGAGCACTTCGCTCTCAGACTGCAGGTCTACTGGTGGTTTCCAGAATATCTAAACTTAGGATGGGAGGCAGATCTTTTAGTTATCAGGCTCCTCTCCTGTGGAACCAGCTCCCAGCTTTAGTCCGTGAGGCAGACACTTTGTCTACTTTTAAGAATAGGCTTAAAACATTTTTATTTGATAGGGCCTATGGTTAAAATCTGATGTTAGCCTAGATCTGGACAAGTGGGGGAGTAGAGGGAGGTGGAGTGTACAGTCGGTAAAGACGGCTCTCCCTTGCCCTGCCTCCAACATGCCTCCATCTAAATAGGATAGATTATCCAGAGTTATCTCTGTAGTTATGCTGCTATAGGCTTAGACTGCTGGAGGACACACTGACCACTTTCCACTCTACTGCTTTCTTCTACTATCTGCTCTTTAACTGTATTATTTCCTGCTATTTCAGCTGTTAACTTTATTTTCTCTCTAAGTGTTTTTCTCCCCAGAAGAAGCTACAACGATGTTCTGCTGAGCTGTGGTGGCCTCATGGAGGGGGCCATCGACTAGCACACTGCTGCTAACCACTAATACATTCTCCCTCTCCTGATAATAACTTTTTGTTTTCATTGACGTTGGATGTGCTACTACTAGTTTACCCGTTTAATTATAGATCCACTAGGATGAATACAATAAAGTTTATCTCTCACCAAATACAATATTTACTAAGATATATATATATATATATATATAGGGAGGAGCTTGACCATGTAGAGCCCTGAAAGTTCTAGTCAGAACTCTAAAGTTAACGGGTAATCAGTGCAGAGGCACCAGAACAGGAGTGATGTGAGCTCTTCTGTTTGCTCCAGTTAGGAGCCTAGCTGCAGAGTTCTGGACCACCTGAAGGCGGTCAAGGGCTTTTTTGTGAGAACATGTGGAGAGTGTGTTACAGTTATCTAGACGGGAGGAGATGGAGAACCATTTCAAGTTCTTAAATGATAAAAACAGTTTCGGATCAACGTGGCCTTCAAGAGACATTGGTTGGTCAAAACATCCAAATTCCTTAAGTTTGTGTTGATGGCAGAAGATACATGACCAAGTTTTAGACTAATCATACATACTGTGTGTATGTATGTGTGTGCGTGTGTGTGTGTGTGTGTGTGTGTGTGTGTGTGTGTGTGTGTGTGTGTGTGTGTGTGTAAGATGATCACCTGAGTCCAGCAGAGCCTGTTTGGACTGAGAGTAGGAGGCTAGCTGAGCTGCATTCACAACCACCGCCCGGGCCATGGTGGGAACACACCCCTGAAACACACACACACATTGTCACACACACACACAAACACACACACACACACATTGTCACACACACACATTGTCTCACACACACACACACACACACACACACACACACACACACACACACACACACACACACACACACACACACACAGACCCTCCAGAGTGTAGTCACTCCCTCCTCTCTGGTGATGCGAGCGAGAGCGTTGAAGACATTGGTGTACCCTCTCCTCTGGTCAGCAGGAAGCCTGGACACACAAATACACTGTCCTGTGATCAGATTCGCACACACACACACACACGCACACACGCACACGCACACACACACACACACACACACACACACGCACACACACGCACGCACACACACACACACACACACAGACCATGAGCTCATGTCTCACCGGCCATCAGCCGTCATCCTGATCAGAGCAACCTCTGCTGGCGTTCCCACAAATGCTCCAGTGGCTCCAGCTGTCATCCCAATCAGAGCCTGTGGGAGGAGCAAAAGCACAGGTAGACCTCTCACCTGAGAAGGACAGCTCAACCAGGACACCAGCCTCAGGGCTTTGTTCTACACGTTCCTTAGGGCCGCTGATTGTATCTGTGTGTTCTGATGTAAACGATGACCCACACCTGTTCAGCCCCTTGTGTGTACAAAGGTGCTTTATAAATAAAGTTTGACTTACTTCCACCAGCTGTGGGACAAGATCTCACCTTCAAGATGAAGTTGGGTGGCCGGCCGTCGGCTCCTGTCATCTTCTCAAACAGGATGGTGTAGATCCCCAGACGGGTGGTGGTGTAGGTGGCCTGACGGAGCAGACCTGCAGACAGCCTGAGACACGACCAGAAAGAAGGTGTGAGTACGGAGCAGCCAGAGGGACAAAATTCATACAGAGGTTAGAGACACCTGTTTACGTCCATTCAGACCTCACACAGGTGTGGATCCGAGGCTCACACAGGTGTGGATCCGAGGCTCACACAGGTGTGGATCCAAAGCTCACACAGTTGTGGATCCAAGGCTCAGACCTGAGACAGGTGTGGATCTGAGGCTCACACAGGTGTGGATCCGAGGCTAACACAGGTGTGGATCTGAGGCTCACACAGGTGTGGATCCGAGGCTCACACAGGTGTGGATCCGAGGCTCACACAGGTGTGGATCTGAGGCTCACACAGGTGTGGATCCGAAGCTCACACAGGTGTGGATCCAAGGCTCAGACCTAGACAGCTGTGGATCTGAGGCTCACACAGGTGTGGATCTGAGGCTCACACAGGTGTGGATCCGAGGCTCACACAGGTGTGGATCCGAAGCTCACACAGGTGTGGATCCAAGGCTCAGACCTAGACAGGTGTGGATCTGAGGCTCACACAGGTGTGGATCCGAGGCTCACACAGGTGTGGATCCGAGGCTCACACAGGTGTGGATCTGAGGCTCACACAGGTGTGGATCCAAAGCTCACACAGGTGTGGATCCGAGGCTAACATAGGTGAGGATCTGAGGCTCAGACCTGAGACAGGTGTGGATCCGAGGCTAACACAGGTGTGGATCCGAGGCTAACACAGGTGTGGATCTGAGGCTCACACAGGTGTGGATCCGAGGCTCACACAGGTGTGGATCTGAGGCTCACACGTGTGGATCCGAGGCTCACACAGGTGTGGATCTGAGGCTCACACAGGTGTGGATCCAAGGGTCAAACCAACACAGGTGTGGATCTGAGGCTCACACAGGTGTGGATCCGAGGCTAACACAGGTGTGGATCCGAGGCTCACACAGGTGTGGATCCGAGGCTCACACAGGTGTGGATCCGAGGCTCACACAGGTGTGGATCCAAAGCTCACACAAGTGTGGATCCAAGGCTCAGACCTGAGACAGGTGTGGATCTGATGCTCACACAGGTGTGGATCCGAGGCTAACATAGGTGTGGATTGGAGCCTCAGACCTGAGACAGGTGTGGATCCGAGGCTAACACAGGTGTGGATCCGAGGCTAACACAGGTGTGGATCTGAGGCTCACTCAGGTGTGGATCCGAGGCTCACACAGGTGTGGATCCGAGGCTCACACAGGTGTGGATCTGAGGCTCACACAGGTGTGGATCCGAAGCTCACACAGGTGTGGATCCAAGGCTCAGACCTAGACAGGCGTGGATCTGAGGCTCACACAGGTGTGGATCCGAGGCTCACACAGGTGTGGATCCGAGGCTCACACAGGTGTGGATCTGAGGCTCACACAGGTGTTGATCCGAAGCTCACACAGGTGTGGATCCAAGGCTCAGACCTAGACAGCTGTGGATCTGAGGCTCACACAGGTGTGGATCCGAGGCTCACACAGGTGTGGATCCGAGGCTCACACAGGTGTGGATCTGAGGCTCACACAGGTGTGGATCCAAAGCTCACACAGGTGTGGATCCAAGGCTCAGACCTGAGACAGGTATGGATCTGAGGCTCACACAGGTGTAGATCCGAGGCTAACATAGGTGTGGATCTGAAGCTCAGACCTGAGACAGGTGTGGATCCGAGGCTAACACAGGTGTGGATCCGAGGCTAACACAGGTGTGGATCTGAGGCTCACACAGGTGTGGATCCGAGGCTAACACAGGTGTAGATCTGAGGCTCACACAGGTGTGGATCCGAGGCTAACACAGGTCTGGATCTGAGGCTCACACAGGTGTGGATCCGAGGCTCACACAGGTGTGGATCCGAGGCTAACACAGGTGTGGATCCAAAGCTCACACAAGTGTGGATCCAAGGCTCAGACCTGAGACAGGTGTGGATCTGAGGCTCACACAGGTGTGGATCCGAGGCTAACATAGGTGTGGATTGGAGCCTCAGACCTGAGACAGGTGTGGATCCGAGGCTAACACAGGTGTGGATCCGAGGCTAACACAGGTGTGGATCTGAGGCTCACTCAGGTGTGGATCCGAGGCTCACACAGGTGTGGATCTGAGGCTCACACAGGTGTGGATCCGAAGCTCACACAGGTGTGGATCCAAGGCTCAGACCTAGACAGGCGTGGATATGAGGCTCACACAGGTGTGGATCCGAGGCTCACACAGGTGTGGATCCGAGGCTCACACAGGTGTGGATCTGAGGCTCACACAGGTGTGGATCCGAAGCTCACACAGGTGTGGATCCAAGGCTCAGACCTAGACAGCTGTGGATCTGAGGCTCACACAGGTGTGGATCCGAGGCTCACACAGGTGTGGATCCGAGGCTCACACAGGTGTGGATCTGAGGCTCACACAGGTGTGGATCCAAAGCTCACACAGGTGTGGATCCAAGGCTCAGACCTGAGACAGGTGTGGATCTGAGGCTCACACAGGTGTAGATCCGAGGCTAACATAGGTGTGGATCTGAAGCTCAGACCTGAGACAGGTGTGGATCCGAGGCGAACACAGGTGTGGATCCGAGGCTAACACAGGTGTGGATCTGAGGCTCACACAGGTGTGGATCCGAGGCTAACACAGGTGTAGATCTGAGGCTCACACAGGTGTAGATCCGAGGCTAACACAGGTCTGGATCTGAGGCTCACACAGGTGTGGATCCGAGGCTCACACAGGTGTGGATCCAAGGCTAACACAGGTGTGGATCTGAGGCTCACACAAGTGTGGATCCGAGACTAACACAGGTGTGGATCTGAGGCTCACACAGGTGTGGATCCAAGGCTCAGACCTGAGACAGGTGTGGATCCGAGGCTAACACAGGTGTGGATCCGAGGCTAACACAGGTGTGCATCTGAGGCTCACACAGGTGTGGATCCGAGGCTAACACAGGTGTGGATCTGAGGCTCACACAGGTGTGGATCTGAGGCTCACACAGGTGTGGATCTGAGGCTCACACAGGTGTGGATCTGAGGCTCACACAGGTGTGGATCCGAGGCTCACACAGGTGTGGATCTAAGGCTCACACAGGTGTGGATCCAAAGCTCACACAGGTGTGGATCCAAGGTTCTGACCTGAGACAGGTGTGGATCTGAGGCTCACCCAGGTGTGGATCCGAGGCTAACATAGGTGTGGATCTGAGGCTCAGACCTGAGACAGGTGTGGATCCGAGGCTAACACAGGTGTGGATCCGAGGCTAACACAGGTGTGGATCTGAGGCTCACACAGGTGTGGATCCGAGGCTCACACAGGTGTGGATCTGAGGCTCACACAAGTGTGGATCCAAGGCTCACACAGGTGTGGATCTGAGGCTCACACAGGTGTGGATCCAAGGCTCAGACCTAGACAGGTGTGGATCTGAGGCTCACACAGGTGTGGTTCCGGTCAAACAGGTGAACAAGTACCCCGTGTAGATGCCTCTCACTCCTTCGTTCCTCAGAATGGAGAACAGAGCGTGGAAGCTGGTTCTGTACTCGCGGGCCTTGGACCCCTGGCCGCTCAGCTGCATCCTGTTCTTCACCAGGTCCAGAGGCTGCACGAACACCGTCGCCCCCATCCTGCAGGAACACAATAGGTCAGAACCAAGAAGGTCAGAGCAGTGAGGAGGAGACTGGTTTCTATGGTAACAACCATATTTCATTACATGAAGGATAACAGAGTAGTTTAGGAGCAGAGAAACCTGCTGCTGGGTTGGTTCAGGTGCCTGGTGTCTCCCCAGGTTGTTACTTTGACCTGGTTCTGATTGGACCTGTCCAATGGGTGGGTGGAATCTGTCAGTCTATCAGCAGCACCAATCACAGAGGAGTGTGTGTGTGTCTAATAATTCAGTCAAGTAATTACACAAATCACACAGAAACCTGCTGACTTGTTCCGATTCATGAGAATAACTTTAGAAAAGTGATCATAGTGCGTGTAGCTGCCGTCCCAAAGAATGAAGAGAGTCTGGGCGGGAGCCAGCTGATACACTAATAAACATCAGAACAATAAACAACAGCTGATACACCAATAAACATCAGAACAATAAACAACAGCTGATACACCAATAAACATCAGATCAATAAACAACAGCTGACACAATAATGTAGCATTATGAAGCTTATAATGGTCTGCCCTTAACAGCTGCCCCTTCACACAGTAACATCACCAAGGTCGGACGCTTGGTTCAGTATGTTTACATTCCAGGAGAAGAGAAGAAGAACGCTTTCCTTTAATTAAAGTACTTTATTTGTGATAAGCTAATCAGAGCATATGTTGATCATTAATAATCAGGTGAATGATCTGTGAAATAAAGATGTCATGAGTTATGTGTTTAATGAATAAACAGGACTGCACCAGACAGACTGATCTACATTACCATGGAAACGCATGACACATTATTCTCAACCAATCAGAACTTTCGTCTGTGGTAGGGCAGAATCTGGGTAGTTTAATGAAAGTCGTCCAATCCGGTTTACTGAGATTTGTAAACAGTTGGGGGATATAAAATAAGGCAACGCCATTTTATGTTCAGTTCCACGTTAAGCAGTTCCATGTTAACCTCAGCTCCAGTACATCCGAGGTCCTAGGGATTTCCATCGTCATCATTAAGAAGTTACAGGCTGGCCAGCTGTACTTCCTACTTTGAGCTGAACTGTCGAGCTGGAAATTTCCGTCGTTTGAACCAACTAGACGACATTCCTTCAAAATAAGAGTGAACTTGTTGACGCCTGCCAATGCTACCTGAGTCGACCCTTCAGACGGGCGTTGTGTGCTGTGACCGCTGTTTCAACCAGCTCCAGTATCGCTGAAGGTCCGAGGACCTGGCAATTCCTGATCTAACACGGGAGGCTCTTCCTGGGTATGTAAATACGGCAAAATGGCGGCTCATGTCATCAGCTTCTGAAGCCTCGTGGTAGCCTAGTCAAAACAACCAGATTCGCTACGTCAGCCTAGAGATTCTGAACAACACACACACACACACACCAACACGAAACATCTACATCCATATGCATCCATCATTGAGATAGTCCTGGTAGATTGTAAGAATTTATAATTATAGAAATTAAAGATTCTTAAACGATCCCAACTCTCTATCTATTCTTGTCTCTCAGTCAATACAAAGTGTTTAAGTAAACTCCCTGATGATAAAAACGACCACTTCTGATTAATTACCTAGATCTAATTACAGTGTATAAATATACAAACTTCAGATCATTACAATAATAAACATCAGATCAATAAACAACAGCAGTCAGATTAATAAGCTACAGCTGACACAATAATAAACATCAGATCAATAAACAACAGCAGTCAGATTAACAAACTACAGCTGACACAATAATAAACATCAGATCAATAAACAACAGCTGACACAATAATAAACATCAGATCAATAAACAACAGCTGACACAATAATAAACATCGGATCAATAAACAACAGCAGTCAGATTAATAAGCTACAGCTGACACAATAATAAACATCAGATCAATAAACAACAGCTGACACAATAATAAACATCAGATCAATAAACAACAGCTGACACAATAATAAACATCGGATCAATAAACAACAGCAGTCAGATTAATAAGCTACAGCTGACACACTAATAAACATAAGATCAATAAACAACAGCAGTCAGATTAACAAACTACAGCTGACACACAGACACTAGGGCTGCAACAAACGATTATTTGGATAATCGATGAATCGGATGGGGTCTCGACACGATTAATCGATTAATCGGATTACATGGGGAAATTTTTAAAACTGCTAGGGAAACATTATTTCTCTCCTTCCTTCACTTTATTAAACACAACATTATTAGAAAACAGTTCAATAGCAGAAAAACAACATGCCATCACCTAAATTGTCTTATAAGGTGTATAGACAGAGACCCTAAGCTACATCTATCTGTGACCTAAAATGCTTGGTCCAAGTTAAACAGCTTAAGGGCAATTCTCATCTGTTTTGTTTGATCTCATCTGTTGACATTTATTTTAAATGTAATTAAACATAGGCTGTGAATTAATCAAAATTAATCACTATTTCCAAAAATGACTGAAAAAATACCAAATAAAACAAAAGTAAATGAATGCCATCCTCCTTGCGATGATGCCCTGGGCAACTGCCATAAAGTCACATCAAGAAATGCTGCTGATCATTCCAATGATCCCAAATAGACTCACATTAGGCCACATGAAAGCAACTGAACCCAAAAATATATTAACCAGTATATAACTGCACTCTCACACAACACGCCTGCAGCAACAGTTAGGACTCCTCCCTCCCTTTTAAAAGCGTTTTTGCTTCCGAGGACATTGTGGTTGTAAAACCACATGCTAGTAGTCTGGCCCCGGTGTGATCAACCAGTTTCTGCGGGAATGTGACGGCGGAACCAGGGCCAGATTAACACTTTGTTGTACCCTGGGCAACAATATTCAAGGGCTCCATCATCACGACCCAAGGATCACCATAATGTGGTCACATACAGAATATTTTACTGTAATATGCAGTAAATATACTCAATACTTGAATGCCTGACAACACGTAACCCGCCCAGAGTAACCTTTGACCCACCTCGTGTGGACTGACCAATGAGGAGAGGGTCTTAACTTGAGGCCCTCTCTTCATTGGTCAGTCTGCATGAGACTGACTCTCAACTGACGTTCAGTCGTAGGCAGCGAAGCGTCTCTGTGCAGCGCAAAAGCCCGGGTGGACAGTTTGTTTAATGTAGGGTGACCATATTTCCATTTCCAAACAAGAGGACAGGGGATCTGTGCCTATGACGTCACACTATGGCAACGCCACACAAACCATGTTGGGACCCATTTTTTGTAAGAACTAAATTAATATCAGATTCTGCCAATTAAAGGGCTCTAAAACAATTCATATGTAAATATTTTGCATATTTAATGCAAAATCTCATTTTTATGCTTTAGTGCTGCAACAAGGTTTTATTAATAATAAATTATTATACCTTTTGTTTTACTACAGCATCGGTAAGCTTCCTGTGCACAGATTATTAAGGATGCTTGTTTCAGCTGTGAGATTAGACGATAGGATCAATGATAAAATAAGTTGTCACACACTCCATGGAAACTTTCAGAGAATCCACAAATAGTGGCTTTCACATGGTTTTGTTACTTTTTGCAAGTTTATAAAAGCAGCAGATGAGACAGCATGTCTGATAATTTAGTTTTTCATCTGATAATATTAGAACATGTCAGTAATGTCTGAGGGGCTTTTATAAACACCGTATAACTAACACTACTGGAGAGGGTATGGATTACACAGAGGCTTCTGGGAGCCCAGTTATGGGGGGGGGGGGGGGGGATTTTGCCTTGGCCCCCAAAATGTCTTGAAACGGCCCTGGGTGTGTGACTGAGTTTTGAAGGTGATCTGAATTGTATCAGATGTATAAATATGACATGTGTGTAACTTATTGTTTTATACAGGTAAAAACGTGTAGTGGAGATAAATCTACCTACATTTTACTTTGTTTTCTTGTTTTTATTGAACTATTTCCTGTCCTGTCCGTCTCTCATCTTCCTGCATCTCCTCATAATTCTCCAGAAAATCTGTTGCCTGGATTCTTACCTTTTCACCTCATCAGTTACTTCTGAGCAGATCAAAGATCTCCTGACCGCAAAGCTCAGAGCGCGTTTTCGATGCTGCGTGAGGTGACATCACCACAGCACAGGTGATGAGCTCCGCAGTAGCGCGCTTCAAGCACAAATAAGACAGAAAATAGAGAACATGTGCGGACATGAACGATCGTGTGCTAATTATAGTTTTTTGGTTGCGCCACTTTGAGAATGGACCGTGCGCTGGAAGCAGCTGCCTGGAGCGCTGCGCAACAACATGTTGTGCCGCTCTCTGCTCAAGAGTCCATAAATGATGTAATATAGAAAACTTTTTTCCGGCTCCCCTGGATGTGTAGGATATCCAGCTCCCCCATAATTCGATCCCTGCTCCTGGATGAAAAGCCGGACATTTTCATCAACTCAAGAACCCGCAGTCCGTACGCCCGGACAGAGAGTGAAAAGTGGACAAGTCCGGGGAAAACGGAACGTACGGTCACCATAGTCCTCATAAAGCGGGAAATTATAGATACAGTATTTTGCTCGTGCCCTGGGACCTTTAGAGTTCGTGGGCCCTGGGCAATTGCCCAGTTAATCCGGCCTTGGGCGGAACCGGTTCGCAGCAGCGCGAACCTTGCGCTGATCTGCCGGCTGACTTGCTCTGCGCGCAACGGCGGGCGGGAAGGGGGGGGGGGCGCTTTTGGGAGAGTTGTGCGACACAACGAATCGATGACGCAATTCGTTGCCAACCTTTTAGTAATCGATTTTCATCGAATTTATCGATTCGTTGT